ATATTTCTGCTGTAAATACATTAATTTCACTGGGTTTATTCCATTGTACATTGTCAGTTTAAGAGTGTATCTGGCCATGATGTGAATGCAAAACAGAGTTGACCTTTGAGCTCACTGCTTGTTCCATGCATACTATGCAATCTGAGAGTACTTTCTCATCTGCTTTCCTCTGATTGTCTGTCAGAGGACAGAAAGTACTGACAGTATATAGATATACAGCAGAAATAAGGTCAGAAATGCCCACCCCCTTCACCTCTCCCAAGTGCAAAACTAAGGGATTGCTCAAATGTAGCTAGTTGCTCAACTTTGAGCTGGGAAAAACTGGTATCAGATACAGAACTAAAAGATTTTAGAGGGGTAAACAAATCTGTATCAGTAACTTAAGGTTCATACTCAAAACCTGGAAAGTTGGCTGTTGAAATAGGTCAGAAAAGCAGTGCTCTAAATATATTTTTAAAGCAGTTAATGCACAGCATTCATGTTTAAATATGGTGGGTTAATAGCTTAAAATTAGTTTAACTTCACAGTCGTGGTGGTAAGTGCAATTTCATGGGGAGCTAATAGGTGGATGCAGCGTGAAGGGTATGAAGAGATGAGTCTGGGAAGGAGGAATGTGTGGTAAAAATACTGAGCTTACTGTCCAGGAGTAACAAAAAGCCGAATTTTACTTTTTCTCAGCTTCAGGATTTGTTATGAGAGCATGAATGTTCACAAATACATTCCTAAATACCGAAATCCTGGAACCATGTATATTCAACTGAAGATGGGCCTTGTAAGTCATCTAGTCCATCATAGGGTCACAGGCTAATTCAAGTCTCTTTTCTACCACCTGTTCAAAGCCTGCCCCAGGCCACGAGGGCTTTATCCAGTCTAGCCTGGAAAACACCAAGGACTGGAGTTGCACAGTGTTTCTGAGAACCCCTTTCACTCTTTGACTCCTCTTTGTGAAGAAGTTTTCTTTTCATCCAGGCTGACTCTCACTTGTTTCAGTCTGTGCTGCTTTTTTCTTGTCCTCCAAGAATGCACCACCAGGGCCTGGCTTTGTCTTCTCAGTGATCTCACAGGTGAGAGGGTGACTGGATCTCCCAGAAGCCAGGCTAACCTTGACCTGTGGAGTTTGTTTTTCTAGTACATACCTTGCCTTGGCTTTACTAGAGCAAGAGCTGTGTCTTTCTCTGCCTCCCAGCCCAAGGTAATGCATTGCTGTCAGGAAGTGGGTGCCAGTACTCCTCTCACACGTTCCTTTTCTTGATTTCCTTCTTACTTTATTTAAAAAGAACATAAATGCTCTGAATGTAAATACTGTCACGCAAATTATCTGTGGAGGACTAACTGTGGTCAGAATCAGAGCTGTCACATCAAGGAAACAAGAGAAGACTGAAATTCTGTGTCTGAGTCTGATCTGGCAGTTTTGCACTGGTGAGTCTGACTCCCACTGCATTCCTATTTCTAATTTGAGAACTGGAAATGGTCTGTTATATCCACCTCCCAGTGCTGGACAGTCTGTAGGGAATAAAGAGGGATGAACTTCGTTTTATTGATGCATCGCAAATGATCTTGGTTTTCAGTTTAATGGAGAGCTTTGTGAATACCCTTTGTTAGAGGCATTTTAGCTGTGTTAAGTATTTTTAGGTAGATATTAGGAAATGAATTAGTGCTAAAAAAAAAAAAAACAAACCTGTAGTTTAGTAGATGATATAGACAGACAGTAGAACTAGCTTGAACATTTCCAGTGACGATAAATGATGCCTTGGTGTCCCCTTTGATTGTGCTTTTGCACTACATTTGACAGTCTGCTGGATCTGCTTTTTAAGCAACGAGCTACGGTCTTGATATTTCTGTGGTTGTGTTACATTCAGGGCAGACCTTTGTATTAATTGAAAGCATGGGGAAAATTCTTTTGTGTTCCATTTTTTCCTTACAGAAATAGTTTAAAAAAGAAAACCTCTTGTAAAAATTCCACTTCATACCAAAGAATTTTGTAGGTGCTTATCATCGAAGGGCAGGACTCTGAGAAAAAGGGTTATGAATCCCTGCGGAAGTGGTAACAGTGTACAAAGGACTCCATTTGTGTGTATCCTGTTTTTTGTAGTCGTAGGAAAAACTGTGTTGCATGGCATTTAAAGTAAATCGTGTTCTTAATGGGTTTATTCAAAATAGCTGCATGTTTTTTAACCATCAGCTGGCTATAGGAACACAGCTGAGCATATCAAACAGCAGCCTCTGTGAATGTTTGTTAATGAAATCTTGGAGCAGTTTGAAACTGGATGTACCAGAGGCATGTGTACTCCAGAGAGCAGCTGTCTCTGGTCAGCTAATCTGATGAGGGGGAAAAATTGCGTTACAGAGAATGTTATAATGCAAAATGAAAATCTTGGCTCAGCATCAAGAGAGCTTTGTAACCCAGTACTGCAGAGGAACGGCATTTAAAAATTTTTTAATAACAGAGGAGGAGGGAGAGAAGAAAAAGATTTGAAATGAAAGATTGGAAATAGCGGAGGAAATTATTTAAAGCACTGTGACATCCATGCAAGGATATAAAGACACACTGGGTATACAGTGGGGAGGGGGTGTGTAAAAGGTGTGGGGAGGAACTTCCACCAGGCTTTCCTTTAATGCCTGTGCAGAACAACAGTGAAGGAATTCTTTACAGAGTGCCTGTTTCCTGAGGGCTTCAGCTAGCTCAGCCAGAGCTCCCATGCTTTTTTGGAGAGTGGATTGGTTCTTGTGAGCAGAAAGGGCAAATCTGTCTCAGTTTGGCTGTCATGTGTTGGGTGGGGCACAGAAGGCTTTGGGCTGCCTTGTACACACCTGCTCTGAGACAGTGGGCAGGGTTTCAATCCTGGATTCTGTGTCACTAGACAAGAAAAGAAATGTGCATCATCTGTGTTGTTTTTTACCCAAAAGCCCTGTGAGTTGCCTGTCATTCTTTAAAAATTAGAAGCTGTTCATAAAGCAACATCTTTAGGAAAAAGTGTATATATTGTATGAATGCAGTCCCTGAGTAACGTGATAGTTTTAATCTACAGTGGAGTAGATCTTGTTGTGTTCATTGCTGCTGGATTAGTTTGCTTGGTTGGAGAAGATGTCATGAGGCAGTTTAGGACTGTGAGACAAATTGTTTTCTGCAGTATGTTTATCAGTCACTTAACCCTTTTGTAAGTGACTCATCTGCAAAATATTTTTAGAACACAATGTAAATTTCAAAGAATTTATTGATTATGTACCGATAGATGTGCCCTCCTCGTCTTCTGTGATACAGATCTTAATTTTGTCAGCACTTTCATCTCTATAAAACACTTCAAACAATCTCAAGCGTTCACTTTCTCGTGCCTCACCTTACACATTAATTGAATACATTGCAATTTGTTGAGAAGCTGATTTAAAATAGATTTTGCATTCTGCCTAGACACTCTTTGGATCTTATGGATATTCAATGCACAGTGTACTTACTAACCTGTAAATTTATTTAGTTTCGTTCCCCTATATTACAGTGTTCATTATTATTACAATAATTATTATTACATTATTATTATTATTATTACAATTATCATGTTTGTCACTTTTTTTTACAAAAACCCCCACTATCAGGTAATGATACAGAGCTCTCTCACATACTGTTTTATATCACTGTTTCTCACTGAGTCTGTCTCTGGGCAGATATTCAGCCTGGTACAACTAGACATAAGTCTGTTTACTTCAGTGAGGCAGGCCCTTTTGTCACTGGCTGAAATTCTGTGCAACTCTATGCACAGTATTGCTCCTTGCACTTATATACGTACAAGAAGGTGCAGTGTCAGACACTGTAGGCTGCAAGCTTAAAAAATACTATTTAAGTACCTGAGAACTGTGAATTGTATGCTAAAATCCCACAGATTATGTGGTGAGGTTTAATCTCAGTCAGAGAGTGGAATCTTAGATTTGTCTTGTCCTTATAGAAGCACAGATAGTTCACTGAGAGATGGCCACTGTGAGATGCTGCAGACAGTGTGTGCCTCTGGATTAAAAACGTTTGTAGTGACAAGTGGAACAAGTGTAAAGATCACTATGATAATGCCAACTTGTATTGCCAGACCATTCAAAAATTGAGATCTGAGCAACTTCAGTGCTGCGTTGTGGTGCAGTCTGAAGACCCAAGAGCAGAATTTTGCCTTTAAGCTTTAAAAAAACTAGGTGGGTGAATGGAGTCTTCCAGCATAATTTATCCTGTAATTGTCTAGTTATTACATGATATCATAATAACAAAGTAGTACTGAAAGATATATTCCTGTAAATTACTAATTTTTTACTGAAGACTATGAAAGCATTTGGAGAGCTTGTGTTCTTTCCATAGTAATCTGATGCTTTTAACTTTCCTTAACCCTTTTCTGGAAAATAATTTGTGTCTGTGCACTTGTGGCTTAGAGAGCAAAGCTCTTCTGGCAGAATGGCTCAGACACCAGCCCTGTGTTCTGTAAGAATCCTGGTGCTTGTTCTGCCAGACAGGCTTCATTTCTTCTGTGCAGCAAGTTTAAAATCCCATCAGTATTTATGGTCCTCATTTGTCATCATTTCTCCCCAGCAAACCTCCTGTTAGTGACTTCACTGCTTCTCCCAGTTCCATAGGTGCAGATGGCTGGAGCGGGTGTCACCAAAATGAGAAATGGAGCTAAATCAGGGGGTTCAGAGTAGGATGAGGTAATGTGGTAACTGGCACTATTTTAAGCATTCTCTGTTTTGTTTATCTCACTCCAAATGTATCAGGCACTAAAGTAAGTACAGTGGTAATTGTGGTCCAGTTTCTCCTGTACATAGTCAGGTTGTAAATCGAAAGATCTGCATTATGGACATATAAATAAAAAACCCACAGGCGAACTTGTCCCTTACCCTAAATCTATTGTCATGGAGAGAATAAAGTTGTTCCAAGAAGAAACAGAAAGGAAAGAATCTGGTTAAATATGGTGTCTCTGAAGTGTTTCTGTTATGCCTTCTTACTCCACTTCTGCTTTCTCTACCCCTAGCTTTCTTTGGAAAGTACCTAAATGAATACAATGGCTCCTATGTGCCTCCTGGTTGGAAAGAATGGGTTGGATTACTTAAAAACTCTCGATTTTACAACTACACACTCTGTAGAAATGGAGTGAAGGAGAAGCATGGATATGACTACTCCAGGGTAGGTCCTATTGATTTATTTCTATTCACATTTGGACATGACCACAAGAAAGCTGCACTTTATGGTTTCTGTCTAACTAAAGGATTCTTTTTGTGCTTGAAAGCTGGTGCCTGTAACATTATCTACAACCCCCAACAGCAGTAGTGTTTGGATATTATGTTATCTTCCATTCTGGGAGGGTCATGGTACTGAAAACATCATTAGCAGCGCTGGAAACAAACAAAATATCCTGAGACTGTATTAGGTACGATGAGCTGAAGATGTGAAAATGGATTTAAATGCTGCATGATAGCTATTTCCGTGCTTTGTACTTTAATTATTGTGTGACTCGGATTTTCATCTGTTCCCTTGGAATAGAACTGTCTTCAGTGGAGTTACACAAGCATTAATAAGATAAGAATCCAGTTCCCTCCAGCTAGACCTATCTTTTTAGTTTAAGGAACTTGTTTCACAGCCACAGTACGATGGAGAATTCCTAGGATCTTGCTACAACTTGTGATAATTCTGAATGAGTGGAGAATTTAACTGTTATGTTTATATTTCCATATATACGGGTGCATGTGTTTCCTAATATCCTCTCAAGGATGGTACACCCTGACCAAACTTACAAAATGGTTTGATAGTAATTGTCAAGTGCAGTATCATTTTTTATCTCATCTACCACGTTACAGCTCAGTACCTGTTTGCAGTCAGGAGTACATTTATTTCAGCCAAAAGTGTTCCTCCCCAAAGGAACCAGCTTTAGTGGAGCCCTAAAATGGGCTGAAGTGACTCTGAAGTATGAAGGTAAATAAATCTATCCATAAACTGCTCTAGTTTTAGGGTATAACACAGGAAGTAGACTCACTCTGAAGAGATTTGTAATGTGTATTTGTTTAACAGGGATTTGGTTTGCTTTCTCTTCTTGGGCACAAATCCTGCCTTCGTGTTTGTGTTTCATTAGCATTGTGTTCCCAGTCAGTATTTCCTTTAAACAGTTGATATCTGTGATTTCCTGTCTGTGATTTCCCCTTTCCTCTGCCCTATTTGCCTTTTTTAATTGAATGTACTTTGTGTTGAAAGATAAAATTTCACAGCCTTCTAGGGTTTCCTTTTCCAGCACCAGCTGCTGAGGGGAAGGGGCAACTGCTGTACAGAATTATTTATCTTTTATTTTCCTCCTGATCTATGAAGAATGAGAGAGAGCTAATCTTTACAGCTGTGGACCAAAAATGTTATGGTGGGAATTTATCTTATGTGCAATGGTGTGAGGCAAATGATTCCATAGGCATATGTTCTCCATCTCCACCCATTGTACCAAGGAGTCACCAGGAAGCTTTTTGTTCCAGTATCCTCAGCTCTGTTTTGTGTATGCAACACTTGAAAACGTTTAGGTCTTCACTTGTTGTAGTTTTTCTTACCAAGTTTAGTAAAAAAAAAAAGGCTGATGAAAATAGAGATGTTTTTATAATCTTCATATTCGTGCATAATTGCTACAGTAATAAACAGATGATAGTGTGCAGAGCAACAGCACTGGTTGATGTTAACACTGGAGTTCAAATGAACAAACAGAAGTTGAAACACAAGACTGTTTCTTTCTTTCCTGTCATATTTTTTTACTCCAAACTTAATTTTCCAGCAGTGAACAATATAATCAGATTATAATTTAGTCCTATCTACTTAATATAGTTAATTATGTGCCAGTGGAAAACTAGAAAAAACATTACTGATTATTGGGCTCTCCAAAGTGACTGCTAAGCACTTATGCTCTGAAAATAAAATTCTTTTAGATTTTCTTACAGGATACATTCTACTTTGATTTTTCTTTTTCAGTTTCTGTCAACTATTTTTACATGAATTTTAATTTTGTACAGCTACATCCTCTAAAGGAGCTTTTTAAAGGAGCTTTAAAAAAAACAACTGTAAGAAATCAGCAAATTGAAATGTTTGTTTGGTCTTTTGACCTGTTAAACAGTGGGTTTGCAGTGATTTTCACTTTGACCACGTGGAAACCTTCATCTTCAAAATGAAGTTGGAAAACTGTGCTCTCCTAATGGCTAAATGAAAGATGAGTTACACACTTGAAGTGAGTGACCAGGTTAAAGAAGAGGCACATTTAAGATAAACAGCACTTGTTGAGAGCACTTCAGTGTTCCCTCTCAGCTCTGAGTGTTGTCTCAGGTATTGAAAGCATGTTCAGAAGTCAGTTTTGCTTTGGTCTGGCTTATTGTACATTCTCCCTTCCCCTGCATATTCTTATGATTGGAAGTCCTTCAGCTGATGCCTGTTTATACCTCCTTTCATGAGTGAAAAGATCATCTCAGTGACAGTCCTGATCGTGGCAGTTCCATAACAGACATGGCTTGTGTTGGGACCAGTGTGAAAAATTATAAATGGAGACTTTGCTGGCCTTGTTCTGGGATAGACAGGAAATAACCTGGGGAAAGTAAATACAAGTCCATGGAAAAGGCTGCTTTGGATGAATGATAAGCTGAGTTCTCTTCTCAAGGACGTTGGCAGTGGTGAAGAGGACCAAGTGTCTGAACCACGGGCAGAAAGCTGTCCTGAAAAGGAGATGCAATCCAGTATGTACCACATTTTGTACTGCTGGCTTCACCAGAGGCAGATGTTATGTCTGATTTTACATTCTGCTGTGACATGACAGTTATTTTGGCTTTTTAAAGGTGAAGTTTCATATCCTACTCGTGTTTGAGGGGTATTTGTATTTGTAGCATTTATATTTCTCCTGTGAAGCAGGAGAATATGGCTTGTCATTAAAAATGCTTCTTCAATCCCTCTAGCTTTTGCAGATATCAGAAAAATAATAATGATACTTCTCAGAAAATAGATAGTCCAGCTCTTTTAAAGGAAGTTTTCTAAATTCTCAACAATATAGAGTTATATCTCTATCAGATTGTCACTGTAATATTGAATGAAATTTTTGGTCCAATTAACCCAACATCTTTTCCCGAATTCTGGTTCAGAGGGAGGTTAAAAAAAAAGAACATCAAGCCATTTGTATTTTCGAAGCACTTTTATGATGCAAAGTCGGACTACACACCTTGAAGATGCTGACTCTGATTTTCTTTTTATTTTTTTATTAATACCTGGTCATTGTATTTAGTATTGTGATCTTCATAATGTAATTACCCACTTTGGGAAGAAAGAGTACTGTTTGATCTTCTTTAATGCCATTCATTTCTGAGGAAAAGCTAGAAGCTGTTGCTTTTTATATTTCTAGGCAGTGAAGAAAGAAGGATTTGCTTTTATTTTTTTTTTTACTCCTTCCTCCTATCTTTCTGAGTGAAGTAGCTCCTTTTTTCCCCTGTTTCTTATGATACCTCAGACCTCCCCTTCCCATCTCACCCCCCTCAATTTGAAATTCCTTTTCAAGTGTCTCATTGCACTTTTACTTCTACTTGCAGGATTATCTAACTGATCTGATTACCAATGACAGTATTACCTTCTTCAGACTCTCCAAGAGGATGTACCCTCACAGGCCCGTGCTGATGGTTATAAGCCACGCTGCTCCTCACGGCCCTGAAGATTCAGCCCCTCAGTACTCACATCTCTTTCCTAATGCCTCACAACACATGTAAGGAAAAAAAAAACCCTTTGATTTTCAGGTTCTGGAGTATGGAAGTCCTGGGTAACAATGTTTTTCTTTGTAATACTCTTGGCATAACCTTGTCACAAATATATAAGAAGAGTTTCCAGACTTTTTTTTGTTTATGTTTCTTCAGACCAGTATTTTGAGAATGGCCACAGAATTAATTGGACATTGTTACAGCCTCTTTGGGAATTAAGGCACTGTTTTTATTTCAAGCAGGGAGATCAAAATCTGGTTCTTGGGCTGTAAACTCTTCAGGGGAAGAAACTCCTATCTCCCTATTCTTATATATAAACTATATTATTTTACAGGTATTAGCAGAAATCACGTATTATGCAATACTTTACTACACCTGTTTCATATATGGAAAGAAAGCAACTGCAGGCCTGCAGCACCAGGTTAGACAGGCTGTTTGTGAATGAGACAGACAGGGTCTGTCTGTCCATGACCCTGGGCAGTGTCTTGAATGGATCCCAAAGGCACTATCACCTGGTTCCTGAGTTAACATGTTCACAAGCTCCACGTTGAGATGGCTCTGGTTTCTAGCACAGGGACATGTTACAGGGACAGCTCTGGAATGCTGCATTGCAGGTGTCTCCTTGCATGCAGATAAAATGAGTGGTTCTCCCAAATCTCCTCTTGACAGGACTGAAAACATTCCAGTAGTTTTCTAATTCCTGGCTTCATGCCTTCATGGATGTTCAACATTTGTAACTTTCTCCCTATGTGCCGATGCCCCCCTTTTTAAGGAGAATTCTGTCTTATTTTGGATTTGTGAAGGAGCTGGGAACTGATGAAAATAATAATCAGTTGGTGGCCAAAGCTGTTCAGGCCTAGTCCAGAGTCCAGTGAAATCCATTTGAACTTTTTTTGCTTAATTTAAAATAGAATCTGAAGGAAAAAGCTTCCTTTGTTCTATTGTCTGGTTATTGCATAACTTAGAATTACATATTTCATTGTTTTCTACTGTGCCCAAAGAGAATCTGTGGCATAGATCTGCAGCAGTGAAGTATTTCATGTTTGTTTGCCATATTGTGCTCATTTATGTTCTTTGAAAAGCAAATTACAGAAATGACCAGTGAGCAACTTCTTATGGCTTATATTACTATGTTCCTTTAGAAGGCATTTGGATCTGGGAGATGATAATCATCATGCAACAATCTGCACTAATTTACTTGCTAGTTGAATGAAAAAGTTTGGAAGGATTTGAGGAGGGGCAGCGGTGAGAAATACAGACTACATCTGTTTTTCTTTTGCTCCTGGTTTAAGTCTTATTGTTCACACAAACTAGGCTTATCCTCCTGACTATAAAGTAATTACACGATTTTATTTCTTTTTTAATTTTAGGTGACTTTTCTTACAATGATAACTGTTACATAGGAAGTGTCGCTTCATGGAAAGAAGTTTTGTTTGTAAAAAAAGAAATTACCTTGGTAGATTAAGGAACTATGTTTTTCTTCTGGATATGAATTTTATGTACATCTCACACAAACAAACTGCCGGTCATCTTCTAAACAATTTTTCCAGCACTGCAAAATGATAATAATTTGTAAGGGCTTTTATTGACCTGGGTTTAGGAGTAAATGTAAAAAATGCAGAACATGTACATAGAGTGAGGGAAACAATGCAAATTGTCCTCTTTGTTTTTTCCCCTTGTTCCCAAATTCCAGGGAATCCCTCAGTGACAGGTAATCTGTCAATTAAAAAAGGGTTGTAGGCAGTTCTTGCTACATATGGATATGGTAGGGCAGGATCAGAACACGGGGGGAAGGAACACTTAGGAATTGCCCTAAAGCAGTAAGAAATCCCCTGGACAGTGTTTGCCCAGTGCCAGGCTCAGGAGGCAGGACACCTTGGCATGGCTCTGTGCCTGTCCTGGTGGCAGTGCTGCCCAAGCCTACAGGTGGATTCTGGAGCTGCATCCAGAGCCAGGTGGAGGTGGGACTGCAGTGACATCCACACTGTGCCCTGTGGCACTGCTGGCAGTGCTTCAAAGCTGGTGGTGTGGGGTTCAGCATAGGCAGTCGGTGCTGCTTTGCTTGGGAGCTCTGGAATCTACTTCTGTGGCTAATTTATGTGCTGTTCTCTTGCTTCTTTTATTCTATACTGTGGCTGGTATGATCATTGTGCCCTGCACTGCAGTCCCTCTCCTCCTCGTTCTGGAGAGCTCCTTTCTGGGTGTGTCTGCGCTCTCGTCGTGTTTGGAAATTATTCCCAGAGCAAATCCCTCAGATACAGGGCTGGTTTTCCTTTATTCCTGCTTATGCTGTGAGCTGCAGAGAACACAACAGCTGGGCAGCTTAGCAGTGATCAGAAATGTTACTGCAACAGAGAGGACATTTTCCCACCCATCTTTTTCAAGGTCAAATGCCATCTGACTGGGACTTACCTTCTGGGTGCATTTGAAGGAGTCAACCAACTTCCAGGAATGTTACATCTGTGTATTTTCCCCATAAGACAGACAAATCTGTTAAGTATAAGAGGGTTACATTTGTAGTAATCAAAGAAAATCACAGGCTTTGGTTGGATTATGTAGTGGGAGGTTTTCAAATCAGCCAGGAAATCACGAAGTAAGCTGAAAAGGAATTTGCAAAGCATTTTTGATTCATTCTGGGCATCACATAGCAACAGTTTCCATAACTGTCAGCATTTTCAAGGAAGCAATGTCATTATTTCAGCCACAATAACATTCTGAAATTCGAGAGACTATTAACATTGCAGAGACAATAAACACAACCCTTTCCTCCCTGTATGAAGAAGCCTGCACTTGCCATGCATGCACATTTTTCAGATAGCATCTAACAGAGGCTTTCAGCATAAAGCATTTCACTGTCAGATTATTAGCTTCATATTTATATTAAATCTCTTAAGGCTACCTGTCACATTCAAAGATATATTAGAAACACAGCATTTTGATAAGTTTCAACTTATTGTTTATCTTAATAACTTACCCTGCTGCTCTGTTGCATACACAAAATCAGTGGTAGAATTTTGCTGAATTTATCAGGAAATTCTGTTGTTGCTAAGAGGAAAGTGATGGAGTATCTGCTATTCTTTCCTATGTTACTGTGTCACCCTCTGGGCTTGTGCATTTGCATAGAATGAGTTTATTGCTCTGAATGAAAGAAGGAAGCCTAACCAAATTACTTAGGAAAAGTAATCTTTAATACTTTAGATTCTGCAGGCAATGTGTTTGAGCAAGGGTGTGAAGAAATTGTAAGAGGTGTTTTTCAACCTTAAGTAATAGCAAACTTTAAAGGAATAGACATAGTAGGTAAAAATAATATTTCTTGCAAATGTAACTTCTTAGGGAGCTGGTGATGCAGAGAGTTGACATCATGGTTATAAACCCTTATTAGGTTCAGCTGACCTAGAGCAATATAATTATGCAGAGAAAAGCAATAGCTGGGACTCCCAACAATGCGAAACTATGGACAGTCAGTGATATTTTTCCTTATCACTTTAATGGTGTCCCAGGACCATGAGAACTTGGAGGGGCAGTGATATTTCAGGGGGACATTGAATCCAGTTCTTGGGATTTTGCAGGGACTTTGATTGAAGCTTCTGACCATCACAAAGCATTTGGTGGCTGTAATATGTCTTCAAAATACAACCCTGTTTCCCTTCACCCCTGCTTTTCTTGGCAGGTCTTTAACATCCATGCGCATCCACTTCTGCTGCTCACATGCAGTTGGATACCAGTAGGCAGAGTGCCTGTGCCTCTCTGGTGCATGAGTGTGAAAATACTCAAGTAGCCAGTCATGCTAAATTCCAGAAAGCTGTTAAAGAACATAGTAGAACCTTTTCAGCAAGTTCTATAGTTACTTTAAACAGCTTGCACAAGCCATACTATTTGGTGCTGATGTGGACAGAGTGAAAGCAAAGCAATTACCTGAGGAGGAGCTCTGTAATACATCCTTCATCCTGATCATACTTGTGGACTTGAAACTTCTGAGGCCAGTCTCTTGGCTTTGAGATGTATCCATATTAGTCTGAAGTCACTGCAAAAACAAGGTGTATTTACTCTTTTCATAGATTTTATTCCCCACAGAGTTGTTTTCATTTTCCCATGTTTCATAACATGAAAGTATAGACATTTCTGAAGTAAACCTAATATTTTCTTGTGCACCTTGGAGATTAAGTCCTATGGTGTTGATCAAATAGAAATTACTAATATTCATTACTATGGCTTTTTTTTTCTACTTGGCTAAAGCATTCTGGTTTTCTCTCTGTTCCTTAGCACTCCCAGTTATAACTATGCTCCAAACCCAGACAAGCATTGGATCATGAGGTACACTGGCCCCATGAAGCCCATACACATGGAGTTCACTAACATGCTGCAGAGAAAGCGCCTCCAAACACTCATGTCTGTGGATGACTCGATGGAGATGGTAAGATCAGCAGTGCCCTTTTTTGTTTTTTTGCTAGACAGGTGCTTGTTTCTTGAGTTAAGCTCTACCTTGTCCTGTAGATATGAAGGTAAGGGAGAAAGGAGGAGGAGGACTGCATCAGTTTTCTAATAGTGTGTCATCCTCTCACCTCAGATCATTTTGGCTCTTTATTCCATGTATAAGGATCCTCATCTCCAAAAGACAGATACCATGAGGTGGTTGGTGTGCACTGATTTGTTGCCACAGAGCCACTGCTGAGTGAGAGGAAGAGGAAGGGACCCCCTTAAAAAAAAATATATGTCCTAAAAATGTACCTTCTGATAGAGAAAAGTCATCCTACAATCTGTTGGAAATAAATACCTAAATGTATGCTTGTTCTGATCCCATAACACTGAGTTTCTGAGAGAAGAAAACAGCAGCAGCAAAAAGTGATGTTACGGAAGTCCTAACTCTGTAACGATGGAATGATCTCATGGTAAACCCAGCCCAGGATGTTAAATGTTGGAAATAAATAAATAAATAAATATGTAAGTTGGTACATTAAAAAATTTAATTAGGTCTGCATTAGGTAACAATGAGATCTCTTAACACAGACTGTCTTCAACAGAAATGTCTGAATTCACTAAAAGTTGAGTGGTTTTCCAGATCTAAAAAGGCAGATTTAAAGGAGTTGCAATTTACTGCTTATCTCTTGGCATTCTTATTCAAAAAGGTAGAATGTAAAATAAGTGGAGTGCTGTAAAGCAAAGGTGAGATTATATGGGTGGCATTGCATAAATTTGTTACTAATGTCTTATAATTACTGATTCAGGCAAGTATGATCTCTGTCTCATGTTAATGAACCTGTTCAGATGGTTCAGATTACCAGCATTAGGGGAGATTGGTGATTTTACTACACTGCTTGGATTTTCTGTTCAGTAAAATGGTTTCACTCTGGGTGATTAACTGCAGCCAAAATCAGTTAGGTTGTTTTTTAGTTCTAGTTACCAAGTTAGCCTGATCTTTTCCACTGAATTATATGTGTCTAATAGTCTTTCAAAGTTAAAAAGAAAAAACAACCAAGTACCTCACACAAAACAACAAAACCGCCACAAACACACACAAACAGACAAAAAACGCAAACAAAACAACCCATAAAAGAAGCAAAAATAAACCCCCAAACTAAGAACATTAGAGTTTGTTTTCTTCTGTGCTGATGGGTTCTGGGTGTGTGTGAGGCACTGCTTTGGTGGTACCTCACCACCTTTGTACCTTTGCAAGCCCAAGCATCACATAAAAATTGACCTTTGGTGCTCAAGTGGATACATTTCACATAAAGATGCTCCTGTAAATCTGTAGAAGCAACCACAGAGTTAAATCTCATCTTAATTCTCCATATTGAGAGAGTATGACTGAGTGTTATTTATCTGAAAGGTATTGTGCAAATATTCTGCATAATGGGGACTCATTTGTCCAAAGGCAAGATCACTGAGTGTTGCTTAAATACGTGTGAGATTTCAAATGCTGTCATTTTATTAAAATTGTTTGCTGCAGGAAAAAGATAAAGGTCGAGAGAAAATTTCAAAAATGGCACCTTGGAACTCTTATCTCTCTTACTGTCTGTATTTAGCACTATCTTGACAGCTCTTATGCAAAATGCTGAACCCAAACACTTGAGAGTGGCACACTAATGTGTTCTACCTTAAAAGAGAAAACAGAAGTGTGCCTTGCAATAGCCATGATATTCAACTAGTAAAATTAAGATGTGATTATGGATTATTCAGAGGGGTTCATTGTGATAACTCAGTGCCAACCTGGGCTGTTGTAATTTATTTGTCACTCATAGGCAGAAAATGATAGCCAGTATTCCATGTGCATATGAATTTCATGTTTTGTTTTGCGCTCTTTTTTTCAGATTTACAACACGTTGGTTGAAACAGGAGAACTGGACAACACATATATGATATATACGGCAGACCATGGTTATCATATTGGGCAGTTTGGGTTGGTGAAAGGGAAGTCCATGCCCTATGAGTTTGACATCAGAGTTCCTTTCTACGTCCGAGGTCCAAATGTCGAGGCTGGGTCCTTGTAAGTTCTTGACTAACCTGTGTGTGCATGTGCAGTGACCTGAAGAGTTCTTTATATTCACATCTCTAGTTGTGTTGACCTGGCAGCCGAGTGGAGGCACAAAGTTCTGCCCATCCTGACTGAATTCCGGCTCATCTTGGGCAGAAAAATGTGTCTGCTCAGAAAGCAGAGCTGACAGCACGTGCTGGTGCAACAAAGTCAAGGCCACTGCTTTTTTTGCTTGCATGGGTGTGCAGCACAAGCCACTCTACTTTTGAAATATGTCCATTCTTTTATGGAAAGATTATACAAATTATACAAAATTATACATGTAACTGTGTAGTTTTCAAGTTAAAAAAATGTTGTGTCATGTTCACTCCCCCAGTAGATAATTATTGCTGAACATGGGAGGCACTTGTTCCAGCTTATAAAGAATAGTTCATATGTTATCATGCACAAAAGGTTCTTTTTGGTTCATTCTTTGACACTACATGGTTAGGGCTGTTGGATGCAGTGTGCAGTGTGCCTGTTAATTAAAATGGTAGCTTTGATCAGCTAAGAAATTATGTAAATATGCTTCCTAAGCAATTATTTCAAATAGCAAATATTTGCACTTAAGTAATGATTTTGGACAGTGCCATAATTTACTGCCTTGTCTTTGTATCAGTGTGCATGTCTTAGCATAATTAACACACAGTCTCTTCCACACAAAATTCTTTTTTTGCTGCAGATGGATCTAGTGTGTAAAACAATAAAAAGTAATTATTAAAAAAAAAATCTCATTCTGTATACTGGTTAAATTCATTGGTTCACATTATCTGTAGGCACAAAAATGTTAAATTCTGTAGATATTGCACTGTGTCCCTAGTTTGTTTTCAGCAGTTATGCATATGAAAAAAAAGCAACGTTACTTCCTTAAAAAGCAGGGAGGGGTTCCTCAGTTGGAATTAAACACATTACCTCAGCACTGAAGGAGTTTTGTCTGCAGCAGCCCCAGAGTTTCAAGTGAGCTGAAACAGCCTTCTAAGAACAGGCTCTCTTTGCCTTTGACTGCAGTTCTTTGCCTTCCTGGAGAGGAATGCTCTTATGGCCCAAGTGGACTGAGCTGGTGTTTCTGCAACATGTAATACCAGAGACCAGCCACATTATGTCTGCTCTAGTTCAAGGATCTTTACACCCAGACACCCATAAAAGCTGTGAAATCTTCCCACTGAATTTTATTTTTCAGAGACTTCTGAAGATGAAAGAATAGGAAGAACAGGATAAAATAGCTTGGAGGGGAGAGTATTTCAGAAAATAAATTGATCTTCCCTCTCAGCCTGATTTTTTTTTTTCTCTGAATGGTGGAACATCAATCATCCGTGTTTTGTGTGAACCTTATGTTTTTCCTGCAGAGTAATTGTCATGACTCCCTTTTGATACCAACAAAATTTTAGTGGCAGACACTGTAGCAAGTCATTACTAAGCTCTCATTTCTAATACCAAATATACTACATCATAATTATTAGTAATTAAAATCAAATTAGGTACATCAATTTAATTCATCATCCATGCTCTTGTCAGTGCCTGTTTGCTCACTCACTCAAAAATGTAGTAATTTTTAAATAGTGTCTCATTAATTAGTGTGAATTTAGCAGCTTCCTTCTGTCCTGAATTTTTTGAGCTCGTGTTCTGCACTGCCACATATAGCAGCCCATCTGGTCCCATGTTCTTTGTTTGAACAGAGCTTGGTATCATTACATGGGCTTTAAACTGGATTCTCCTTTATGTTTTTTACAGGAATCCTCACATTGTGTTGAATATTGATCTCGCACCTACAATTCTGGATATTGCTGGGTTGGATATTCCCTCTGACATGGATGGTAAATCCATTCTAAAGCTGCTGGATTCGGAGAGACCAGTAAATAGGTAAGAACTGGAAATGTGTGTGGAAACATGTATGTGTTTGTACAACAGACTGAACAAATGTTCAGCAGCATGCACCAAATTTAAAGGAAAATATAATAAAATTACCATCTGTAGGATTACATCATTCACTGGGAAGTCTGGAGACTAATTGACCCACTTCAGTTAGTTATTTTCATTTTGGCATGTTCATATAGTGGATGTATGGCATATATGGCATCTGTATAAACTAAATATAGTCTGTGTAGAAGAGAGGGCTACATGTGAAGATCTTTACCTATGTGAGTTATAGATTTTAATTGTCTCTGTGGCATCATTTGTAGCAAAGCTACAAATTTCACTTTGAATGAATTGCAGAATAATTGAATTGAAAGGGTTGGTTGTATATCAGACTATAATATAAAGACAGGCTAGAACTCAAAATTGCAGTTATTATTTAAGACTTTCCATCAATAATTTCATTTGAAAAAGACTGAGGAAGAGGATTAGACTGGATGCTTGCTAGAGAAGATCAGCAGAGAAAAGGGAGGGAGATTTATTTGCTTTACAAGTAGTTGGGTGGAGGGAGAAGGGGAAAAGAGCAGCTGCTTTAGAATAGGCTACTTGGTGGATAGTGTGCAGGTTAAGAGCCCAAACCTGAGTCATGAAATCCAGATTTAATTTGTAATCCTTTGTGATGGAGGACGATTCAGTTAATCCACTGTCCCTTAAACATGCTTATGTTGAAGAAATTGTACTCTGTGAACCTGTTGTGGATTTTTGTCCCTGAGAGAAAAATCTGTCCTGTGTTTGCTCTGGGTTTGCACTGGAGAGGCATATGTGCCTGCTTCCCAGAGCTGGATGTCCCCTTGTGCAGTGACATGGCATGTTTCTCATTGGAATTGGGGATGGGAGAGAAAACTGGGGCATAGCTTGGTTACTGGGTTTGTGGGAGTCGCTTCTTCCTCTCCTCGTTTCCTCTTAGGTTCCACTTAAAGAAAAAGATGAAGGTGTGGAGAGACTCGTTCCTTGTGGAAAGAGGGTAAGGAAAGTGTTAATCACAAAGCCCGGTTCTTTAAATAGAAGGACACTGAATAGCTCAAGCCAAAGCAGCACTCTGCCACAGTCTAAAGCCATTTAGCTGTGCCAGCAGGGACACGGCTGCAGCGTTGCCTAATGGCACTGATTGGAGGGAATGTATGGCCTTTGCCTACAGCCTGCATAAATGTGCTCTTGGGGTGGGGGAAGGGAGTTTCCTTGCATTGAGAGATGGAAAGGCATCCCATTTTGCTTTCAGCTGCTGCCCTCCCCACCCTCCTGCTTGTATCATGGGAGTGTGAACAACCCTCCTTCTCTGCGTGTTCATCTGTGCCCCTGCCTTAATACATCGATGGGGGCACGAGGGGTTTACAGAGTGCAGCCCTGTAGGATGAGAGGATGTGGTCTCCTTGTATTGACTGTTGTCACTGCCTGCCAATCAGACATGGAACACAGTCTTGATTTTGTGTGTTTTTGTATGCTCCCTGAGAGCAAGATATGAGTAACTTGTGTGTTATCAGAGAGACCGAGTGCTGGTTTCTACTGGACTATAAAGTTTTGGCTACCAGTGTTGCTATGGACTTGGAAAATAACATGCTCCTCTGAGTCTTTTTAACAAACTGCATTTATATCTTAATTAATATTAATGTAAAAATAAATATTATTCTTTTCCCCCAGTAAACTGCTGCATAAGAGGGAGAATGAGAAGGTAGATGCCCAAGAAGAAAACTTTCTACCCAAATACCAGCGTGTGAAAGACCTCTGTCAGCGAGCTGAGTATCAAACAGCTTGTGAACAGCTTGGCCAGGTAGGGCATTGTCCCCCTGACTGAAAGTAAGCAGTTGTAGTTGGGCTAAGCTTAACACCTTCACTGTGGCAATGTCCTTCACCACATTGTCCGTGCCAGCTTATGAATCGAATGGCTCTGTGGCCTTTGCTCACAACCATATTACAGCATTTATGAGATTGACTGTCAGTCAGGAAATTCTGATTCAGGTGTTCTGCATTGGTTCCTGAAATCTGCATTGATTTCAGGTGGTCAAGAGAACCACCTAAGCTGTTCTAACATTCTATTCCCCAAATAGAATGTGGTTTGGGCTTCATTAGTGATGAGGAGCTACAATGTACCTAACAGATTGGCCTTCTCCAAATACATATAGTTTGCTTTGCTTTGAATTCTCTATTTAATTCATTTTGTTGATGTTGTTATTTGGAATTACATGTAATAATGGGAAACTCATCATGGCTAGGCTTCGCGAACGAAGATTTGGGAAGGGCTCTACCCATTTTTCATGCAAGCGCGTTGGTGGCTGAAAAGGCCAATACGAGAAAGGCAGGTCCGGTTGCAAAAGACACAGCAGAAAGACTCCTTAGATGGTATATTCTGCAAGGTTCGATTCTTTCTGCGTTGTCTTTTCTCCTCAAGAGTGATCCTGCGTGCTTTCTCAAAAGCATCAGCAGCGTTATAAATGGTCTGTCTCCAGGCCTCCCGATTAGAGGCCAGAGTGGACCAGTTATGGTGATCAATATGCCCAAGGCTGAGTTGTTGCTTCAGGGAGTCCTTGTATCTTTTATTTGGAGCTCCTCTCTTGCGACAGCCAGTGGCAAGTTCACCATAGAGCAGGATCTTAGGGAGGCGGTGGTCCTTCATCCTAGAGACGTGCCCTGCCCATCGCAGTTGCGTTCTCAGCAACATGGCCTCAATACTCGTAATTGCTGCCTGTTCAAGAACAGATGTATTGGTCACATAGTCTGACCAATGGATGTTAAGGATTGTACGGAGGCAGCGTTGATGGAAGCGTTCTAGGAGACGCAGGTGGTGGCGGTAGATGACCCATGATTCGGAACCATATAAAAGAGTAGACAACACTATGGCTCTGTAAACACTGATCTTGGTGCTTTTCTTCAAGTGTTTATTACGCCATACTCGTTTATGGAGTTTTCCAAAAGCACTATATGCCTTCGCTAACCTATTGTCTATCTCCCCATCAATCTTACCATCTGAGGAGATGAGGCTGCCTAGGTAATTAAACTGTTGGACTGAATTGAGTTCTGACTGGCCGATGGTGATGTGGGGATGGTGGGGGACTTCCTGAGGTGCAGGCTGATGGAGAACTTCTGTCTTCTTTAAGCTGACTTCCAGCCCAAAGAGCTCAGCAGCCTCTGCAAAGCAGGATGTTAAACGCTGCAGAGCTGCTTCTGTGTGGGCAACAAGGGCGGCGTCATCAGCATAGAGTAGCTCTAATGGGAAACTAACATTCTGTTAACTCAATATATCCCTCCTCTGAACAAAAATAGACTGGGAAAACACACATGCAATTATGACTGGAGGCAGTCTGTGATATGGGCATAAAGCTCATTGATTTTGTGTCATTTCTCTTGTTGCATAACTGTTCTGGGCAGATAGAAAAATATGTTCACTTTAGATCCAAGTTACATAGAAGAAATTCAGGGGAAAAAACTCTGGAGTGGTATCAATACATGGTCTTGAAATGCACAGGAGAAGATTTTGGAAATTACAAGAGCACTGCAAAGGCAAAGCACAGCTGACCCCATGGATTCCTGGGGGAATTCTCACCCTCTGGAAACACGGCAGAATTGGCTCTGTGCCATTGCTCTCCATCCAGGTGTGGGTCCCAGTGCCCCTTCCAAGGACTGTGACACATTCTACTGTGGACAGAGTGGGGAAGGTCAATGGGTCCACATGCTGCCCTGTCAGTTCTTAGACTCCTGGCAGCTCAGAGGGCTCTCAGGATAAGTCAGGCTGTGGAACATTTGTCCATGCAGGCACAGTCTGAGTGGTTCACCAACGCTACAGTCAGTAATGGACTGCTGAGGCTACAGTAGTTCATTTTTTACTGTCAGAGACCAGACTTCCTTCTTCTGGCTCTGCTGATCATGTAGTTCAGTGTACCTGTGAAATGACTCCATTGTTACTTAGGTGTTTGGATCCAATTCATATGTATAGGAATTTTCCAGATGCTCTTTTCTTCCTATGGTGTCTTTGTCAGATGTAGTATACTGAGAAACTATAATGTCCCGTTCTTCCTAAAAATACTAAACTTAAAAGGAATATTACATGCAGTAGTTTATTGTCATCAGATGTCTCGAGCTGCAGTTTTAGCTGTGTTTTATGAATTTGAAATGCTATTTGATGAACTGGGGGAAAAGTTACTGTTTCTGCTACAACATCACTCAGTAAGTAGTACAGGGAAATACAGCTTTTCTTTTTCCATCAGTACTGTCTTTTTGAAAGTTGTTTCAGCTTCCTCCTTTTGTTTTTGTCTTCCCAAATATTTTGAACGTTGTTGTAAGAACAGAGGGGAAGAGAGACTTTCCAAACCCATGTTGTCACTGAATCTGTCACTTTGCATAAGGTAACTTAGCTATGTTCAGGCTTTCTTACTCTAATTACCACTTGTCTCAGTTGTGGAAGAAAGGGGGAAGGCCCTGTAATGTCTACACACATTCACAGGCTTATGTTTTCTTTCATGGGCAATAAAATATCTTTGACCTCTTTAAGAAGCGGGTATAAAACGTCAACTCTGCAGTCAGAGTTGCCAATAAATTCTGAGGTAAAGATGTGCTAATAAGAGATGTGTGTGCTGCATCCTCATTGTCAGGAGACAGAGGGGAGAAGAATTATTTTGAGCAGTTCAGTCAAACGTAATTGGAAGTGATGGGATGAAATTGAGCAAAAAAGAAATTTACGTTGGACATCGGGAAAAATTGCCAAACAATCAGGTCGATTGAAGTCTGTGAAGGGCTCTCAAGGGAGTCTCAATCCATCTCACCCCTACTCTAGAGAGTATGTCCTAGTAGTCTGTCTAGACAATAGGAATAGTGGGAGATAAATGTGCTTATTTGAGGATAAACTGTGCCTAAATATGGGTGCACCCAAAAATCTTTTCGGAGCGAAGCAACACTAACTTCTCAAATGACAAATGGGTGTTGTCTGTTTGCTGGTGCTGCTCACAGCTCTGCACAGTAAGTAGAACAAGCCCAAATTAATAACATACCACTACCTTGGGGGAGTTCGTGGTGTGCAGATACAGTGGTTATTTAGCAGATGTCTCCTCATCCTGCAGCACACTCTGTTTAGTGGTATCTGGAGTGTTCAGTACAAAAAGGGAATTTTCACATCCTGATGCAAAGATGAAGAGAAGTCTGGATCAGAATTAGTTGAAAGCTTGCTAAAGTCATTGGGGTTCTTTCTTTTGACTTAAACAAGATTGGGGGACCTGCTATTCGGTGCACAGAGAAACCTGAGCAGTCCCAGGAAACGTGAAGTGTGAGCAGGAGACAAGAAGCGCAAACAGAGGACAAAGACTCAGAAGGAGAGTGAAGGACAAGAGAAAAGGACAGAGTTTAAAGTAAAGGAGAGGTCAAGAAATCTTTGAATGTGAGGTGGAGAATTTGAAATTCTGCTTTGTGAGTGTGCAAGTTCATGAATACAGTTCTGTTGCCACAAAATGGTCTTCCTTTGCAAATTTCTGTCACCCTCCTTAACTTATCATCGTTTTGGTAAAAGAACACCAGCATCATGGAGAGGAGGCTATTCAAACTGTTTAAAACCTTGTTTCACAGTCCATTATGTGGAATTTTTTTGGCAACACTAATGTATGTAAATTCTCCCAAGTGCAATGGGAATCTGTGTGTTACCGTGTTTTCTTTTTCACTTGGTGGGGTGTTGGTTATTTGCATCCAACAAAGGGTGACTGTAGACTCAGATGAAAGAGCAGTTCAGCATTTATATTCAAGGATTTAAAAGAGATGAGCTCTTCCCACATGAAATAAAAAACATTTATCCTGGTATCTAATGGCTTCCACACAAATTTTTCTCTTCAGCCTAGTTTGGCCTTTCATTCTAAACTGATTGGTGAGTGGAAGCTGACCCACTTTTATCTGGCAGTCTGCATTAATGTGCTTTTGTGGAAGCCAATTATGATATCGCCATTGCTCTGTAGAGTCCTCCCAGCAACTCCACAGTATCATAACAACAGCTGCACAAAATCTCCCTCCAAGTAATTTACCAGCTTTGTGCACATTTGATAAACATGCAATACCTGCAGCAGTGCTGGTTGCTGTAGGGAATCTATGTTGTGCTTGTAAAAAAACCCCAAAATTAAAAGATAGTGATTTTGTCTTTAGCTGGACCTGGCGTAGTACAGTAATATTGCCAACTCATAAAGAAAAATAGTTGTGTGAATTGACATAATTTTCTTTTCAAATACTTTTTATTTTCAGAGCTTTATTTACATGCAGATCTGATACAAGTAGAATTTGCCTTTAAATAGCATAAAAATATCATTTTATGTGGCAGTTTTCACAGGAGAACATTCAAAACACAAACATGGGCACTTTGTTTCCTTCAGATATTCTGCAGATGAAAGCTTTGGCACACAGTCTTCCGTCCAATCATTGTGCTTTGCCAGGATCCTGAAGGGATATTCTCTTTTGTAACTGGCCTGAAGATACCAAAAGCAGGTCACTTATGTGCTTGGTCCCCCCGTTCTCTCACATCCCAGTAGGGAAAACTCTTGTGATTTGGGGTGTGCCTTCCTCAGCAGCTCACAAGTGGCCCCTCTAGATCTTATTCCTACCACCACAATCATGACTGGCCATTGTTTAGTGCCAAGGGAGGAGCAATATAAAAAAAATTGCCTGTATATTCTCCTTTTCCTGAGGCCACTTGGACTTACATCAACCTGGCCTAGGAAACAGTGTCAGGTTTTATAAGGAATTTCTTTAAAAACCAGGAAGAAAACTTTTGATCTGTCTTTTGTGTTGTCTGGTTCTTCTGTAGCT